AAAGATTCAGGGGCCTTACGGAGACACCCAGGCTCCATCAGCACCTGCCGGAAGCAGCCTCAGCACACATGGTGGTTTAACTAGGAATGCCCCCATAGACTGGTGTTGTGAATGCTTGGCTCGAGGAGGAGCACTGTTAGGAGGTATGGCCTTGTTGGAGGACATGTGTCCTTGTGAGGCAGGCTTTGAGGTCTCCTGTGGTCAAGCTCCGCCCAGTGTGGCATAGTCTCTTGCTGCCTGCAGACCAAGATGTAGAGCTATCAGCAACTTCCCCAGCACGACTTCCTGGAAGCTGCCATGTTTCCCACCGTGACAATAATGGACCAAACCTCTGCAACTATAAGCCAGAGCTGCCGTGGTCATGGTGTCTCTTCACAGCGATGAAACTCAACTAAGATGCCCCACGTGCTCTTCCCCCAGCTGCAGCAATGTGGATTCCTACAACTACAAAACGCTTCTCCCCACACTCGGTTCTGACTTGTCATTCCGGTCTCTATCTCATCTCTGTTTTCAACTGGGAGAACACAACACCTACCAGAGTAAAAACTGTTAGATTTAAGTCTCCTGCTGGAAATCAGTTATTTGTTCATTCTCACCATCTCAGACAAAAATTAAGTTACTCCAACCTCCCATCAGCCTCAGCAAACTGGTTACCAACACCCACACCACCCAACCTACAAGACACCTATAATCCCAGGGCTAAGGAAGCAGACACAGGGATGATCCCAGGGAACTGTGGGAAAACAGTTTAGGCAAATCAGCAAGTCCCAGATCCAGTAAGAGACCTTGTCTCAAAAAGTAAGATGGGCATGCAGACAGACACCTAAAGCCAGAGCGACCGGACCGCCCCATACCCCCAGGAATACACAGCAATAATATCAATGCTGAATGAGACAGATAACTGAATAAACAGCTAACGTGGACACATGAAACATAAAGTAAACATCCTAAGCTGGGGCTACTGTCTCTCCTGGGCTGGCCCATAGAGTGCCCTCCTTCAGTTTCACCTTTCAGGACCCCAGCTCCACTCAACTGTAACTGGTGAGTCAACTGTAATTCATTCATTACCTAGCAGTCTTCTAAAACCCTTTCCGTAAGATGGCCTTTGAAAAGCAGCTCAACTGTTTCTCCTGAGGGAACTTCTAAGACATCATTTGTAACAACTTCACTGATAAGGACATGACTGTGTAATAAAACTAAGAAATAACCCCAAGTACAAGGACACAATGAATGGTGGCATGGACACACAACCCAGTAGTTTACACAACAATGTGAGCTCTATCTATCAAAGCACCAAGGACATCTTTTCACAGAACTAAAAGATCCACTAAAATCTGTAGCCACAGACTCTGAAAGTCAAGGCGTATTAGTCCCTGACTTCATATGCTGCAGAATGACAATAAAACACAAAAAGACATAAAAACAAAAACCAGCTCGGCCTACAGCAACTGTTGTGAGAAAGGCTCTTGCTATAAAGACCTGGAGACAATCAACAGGGTGAAGATGCCACCTACAGAATGCACGGAGGGGAAGAGGTGGCATCTGCCCAGCAGCCGCCCAAAACCGCACAGCAAAAGTCCAAATACTTTAATTTTTTTTTTTTAAATGGGCAACTGCCCTGAACAGAAACGCTTCAAAACAAATAAAATTTCGAATTATTATATAAAGATGTCCAAGACTGTTAGCCATTACGGACATCCAAGTTAAAACTACACTGAGGACAGGGGCCTGGTGGTGCCTTTGATCCCAGGTACTCAGGAGGCAGAGGTGGGCAGATCTCTGTGAATTTCAAATCAGCCTGTTGAACATAGCAAATTCCAGGCAAGCCAGGGCTATACAGTGAAACTTTGTCTTGATAAAGTTAAAATAAACCTGCCCTGAAATTCTAACTCACCCCAGTCAGAATGGCTATTACCCAAAAGACAAAAAATAATAAATACTGGTGATGATGTGGAAAAAGGAGCTTTTATATGCCTTTGGTGGGAATATACATTGGTAATAGCCACTATGGAAACCAGTATAGAGGTTCCTAGAAACATAGCTATCATATGTTCCAGCCATGCAACTTGAGGTCATTTATCCAAAGGAAAAAAAATCAACATACTGCAAGAAAACAGAGGTGGGCAGGGAAGGGTGGAGGGTGGGGGGACAGACACAAGGCAATTACTAAAGCCCTGTTCAAAACAGCCAGCAAACCAAATCAGTCAAGAAATAAATGCATGAATAAAAGTGTATGTACACCGCGCAGCATGTGTACATATTATTCAGTCTTAATGAAAAGCATGCCTTTTGCAGATAGTATGTAAATCTAACCAGTAAGTGAAATGAAGCAAATTCAGAGGCAGCGGCAGAGGCATTACGTGTTTTCTCTCACATGCAGAAACCAAAAAAACAAAAACTGACAATGACCTGAAGGCAAAAGAAAGAACTACTGTGAAAAGGGGGAGAGGAAGGGCAAGAGAGAATAGAAGGGAAAACAGACACAATCAATGCACAACATATTCATACATCAAAGTATGAGAAGCCCACGAGTGTGGACAACTAACGTGCATTAATAATTATAAGGTTAAAAATCCACTGGGCAAAAGTGCAGCAAACAATCACATCAGGGAAAGTGATGTCTAAGTAAGAATCAAGACTCAAATCAAGTTATGGAGGGGAGTCAGAGTCAGGAGAGACTGAGATGACAGGTTTAGCAATACAGAGCAGCGGCTACGTGTCTATACAAACGGCAGCAGACAGCCATGCTCCAGGAACACTGGAACAAAGAATCTTACCCCAATGCAGCAGACACTAGGACCTTATTCTAGAAAAGGGTTCAAGAGAAACAGACTGACAGATGGGCCTCCTTTAAAGAACCCAGCTCTGCCTGCTAGTCCACGAGCCAGGGCTCACAGCAAATTCGTGCCACTTTTCAGTACGCTATTCTGAGACAAGAACAGCGAAGGTGCCACCATTCATTTGGAGACCTCTAACAGGAAAGACATGGACCAAAACACACAGCAAAACTAAGCTCATGAAATAAGACAATGTAAAGCCAAAATAAATAAATAATTATAATTAGTTTTTCAAAATGAGAATGTGTATCATATCTGTGAAATAAAATCAGCACTCTCAGAAAGAAACAGATCATCAAAGGTCCTCAAACTTAAAACCATTACACCAGGTTTATTTTTTCCAATTAAGCATAAGTGCTGGAAATGAAAGAACTTGTCCAGAAAAGAGCACAAGTGACAGGAAGTAAACACTTACAAAAGCCGGAGAGCCAATCAGACAAGCCCAAAGAATCAAGCAACCAGACAACAATGTGGATGAACGCTATGGCTTATGGGACAGAGAAAGAAACGCCACACCAGGGCACTCCAGTGCCAAACTTCAGAATGAGAAATGAACAACAGGATTCCACTCTCACAGAAGTCTGCCTGCAGATATCAAACATGAAAGAACTGAAAGGCAGCTATTAAGGAAGCAGAGAACAACATTTACTTAGTATAAACTTTTAAAAGACACAAGGATAACACAGTACCAACTGCGCATCCATAAATGTTTGCGATCACAAGCAGTGCAACCCCTTAAAATTAGATTCAAACTCAAGTACAATGTTCAGAAACAGGATTTTGTGTCCACAAGTAAGAAACCAAAACAGAACAACAGAACATGAGAAGAAAATGCTCCAGGGTACTGGCGGCACGCAGCCACTGTAGAGCAAGACTGGAGACCAGAGCGCTGACCGTCTCCAGGTTTCCACCTTACTCTAGATCAACAGATGCCTATGATTACGATACAGACAAGAAAGCCAACAGCAAGGTCAAATGGCAGAAAGTAGCCACTATTTCTCAGCTCATAGACCTGAGCATCCATAAAAAATTACTTTGAAACTAACAGAAAAAGAGAAAAAGCAAGTATTTACTTTCCATTTCCCAGGAGTTCTATCTGCTAATGCTACGAAATCTCTCTGATTCTTAGAGAACAAAGTTGTCCGTGTGAATACAGCCTAAGATTTACAATAAGCATAAATCCCACAATGTGATGTCCACGTCACTAGAACATCTTCTGATAGACACCTCAAAATAAGAACTATCGTCCATACAACACTATATGGGTCCTTTGCTACCAGAGACAGACTCTCATAATGGTTATGCGAATTACAACTGTCCCGATGGCATTTCAGAACCAACATTTCTCTCTGTGGTACAGCCATCCTGATGAGATGGATGTTGCTCCATCAACTACAACACTCTCCATCGATCTCATTCTTGAAAATATTCTCAAAGACAGTGAGATCAGGAATGTAGTTTGGTGGTTGAGTGCTTGCCTAGTATGCATGCGTAAGCCTTGGTTTGACTCCTAGCAAAAGAAGAGAGTAAGGAAGGCAAGAAGAAAGGGATGGAGGAAGGGAAGCAGGAAATGACCTGAAGTCAATATAACAAAATCTTATCTCCCCATGTATACTGCACCATTTCAGTACCAGGATATAGAGTAAATCTAAATAGCCATCAACAGACAGGGGATAAAGAAAATGGGACTTAACCCATATACCTGTGTTATACCACTATTAAGAATTAATGTACATTACAATAGAGTATTATTCAAACATAACATATGATGAACCCCGAGGAGGACATGTGTTCTGTGACATAAACCAAGTGCAGAAGACACAGTCCACAATCTCTTGCAGAGTCTTAAAGTCACGTCACAGAAGCTGAGAGCACAGTAGTCACTACGGAAGAAGACTGAGGAGAATATGGGGGCGGCTGGCCAACTGCGACAATGACAGAAGGATGAACTTTCGGTGTTTGGCTACAGAGTAACACACTGTGTAGCTCAAGAGACACCTGGGAGGAATTCAGTTGTACTCATTATTAAAAAAAAAAAAAAAAAAAAAAAAGTGATTAAGGCAGTGGATATGACCTGCTCATTACCAACTTAAGAAATGACCCCCAAAAAGCCCACCTCCCACTGTAGTCCCTAACATGTATGACTATCTACCACGGTCTCACCTGTCTGGCTTTCGGGTTCTTCGCAGCAGGGCTGTTCTCATTTGTACCATCCATTCCCCGAAGAACACTGATGAAATCCTTCTTGGAAACAGTCGACATCAACTTAGCTTGCTTCCTGATAGAGCCTCCTGCTTCCTTAACTTTTTCACCAACATTCCTTTGGTGTTTCTGAACAGCATTGAATAACTGCACCACACCCCTACAGAGTAAAACATCAGAGCAACATAAAACAGACAAGGACAGCAGAATATAGTCTAACACCACAGTCTAGAAAGAAGGCAAGTGCTCTTGGGTGGCAAAAATGCTAATTTGCCCTGAAAGCAAACACTGAGATGAGCTAACCCACAGTGCCTGCTCAGTCGACAGAGCAGGGACTTAAATAGGTCCTGTCTTTTGTAATTAAATAAGGTAATAAGCTTATTTTACTTTCACTTTAAAGCATGTTGAATTCATGAGTGGATGGTCTTCTTAATATGCCAATAAGATGAATTTTCATGTAGTTATTTTAAAATAATCATGGTTATATATATAAAATAATCATGGAGCTCTTGAAAGCCAAGTTTAGTTTTTTTCAAACCAAAATGACCAAGGTGCCTCAATTTCTAACGACCTTCACAGGCTAGAAATAACATCGTCTTCTTTCAACAGATAAGCTGAGACAGAAATTCAGTAGGATATGCAGATTCTCACATCTCACCATGTAGCTCCCAGACAGATCAAAAGAATGTAACCACTATGCCCCCCTTTATTTGTTGTTGTTTTGTAACCCGATACAGGGTTTCTCTGTGTATTCCTGGCTGTCCTGGAACTCGTTCTGTAGACCAGGCTGGCCTTGAACTCAGAGATCCTTCTGTCTCTGCCTCCCAAGGGCTGGGATCACCAGTTAGCTAGCATTCCCACTCATGAAGCCTTGCACAATTCCCCAACTCCCATGGCTGTCACCACCCACAGAACACATTCATTCTAAGAGATTCATTTCTACAAATGAGAAGCGATCACACAGAAGAGACCCTATCCTATTCAGTTCTAGATGTGGAAGGTTGCTCTGTTAGGGGGAAACAAAAGGAAAGGTCAAGGTAAAGCTACCATAACGTACGGCATAGCATCCTATAAACATAGTGCAAGAGAACAAACCCAGCACCATCCACTGCGACAAACACCAGAGGAAAGTCAGGGCTCTGACTATACCATCCTCAAACTACAAAACTATGACCTGAGCAGATCCAAACAAAATACACACTTGGCATTCCACAGTTCTGCTTCATGACACAACTCCAAAGTCTTTGTTTAAGTTCAGTGCCCAACAGCAAGTTGGAGGTGAGGCCCTTGGCTCTGAGAAGGCAGAGCTCAGGAATCTAATCTGAGCACAGGAGGTCAGTACCAAAGCTTTCGTGTACTTGCTTTTAGGGTGGAAGCACTGTCTTACCTCGTTGCAATCCTTTGAAGGTTCCTCTCTGCCTCTTTGTCTTTGACAACATCTGGCTTCACTCTGCACATCATTTCCCACTCCCGCTTTTTATCAAGCTGTGTTATAAATACAGTTATGTGAACAAGTATTAGGCATCTCTGAAAGTGCAGCAAACTCTGATACGGTATTCTGAAAGGACAGAGATGATAAATCACCTGAGCCCCATGTGTCACAGAGGCTCTTTTTAAAAACCAATTTCGGGAGCTCAGCTCAGCAGCTTGTGGTCAGCACTCCGTGTGCTACATGAGAGGCAGAGGCTTTAAGAGAGCCTCTGGCCCCAGGCTCTGGAGAACTGCCAGTACATCCAGTCACCTGACATCACAGGACATCATCAGGAGGATACCCAACACCACGCTACCCACTTTGGGAAGGGCAAGCGAAGCTACCCACTCCCTTCCTGAGGACTCGTCAACTCTCAGAATCAAGTCTGCACCAGCTCTGAGCAGAGCAATACCGTATGCAGACACTCACGTCCTGTCTATTTCTCTTTGTTTGAAACCATAAACCTACTTCTCCCCTAATGGCATATCTAACCAATGTTCTCACCAACACAGCCCTGAAGGGAGCTGGAGAAGGAAAGCACCAGACAACAAACGGACTAGTGTAAACAGTCTCTGAGCAACATCCTGAGTCCAGGTGCCTCACCTGACAGACTGGCTATTGGGTCTGTTTCCCAGGCTGATAGATATTGACTGGATGAAGTGCTCGCCTAGAGGCCACTCAGCATCACACCAAGAATGGTGGAAACGCCAACTTTCTCTACCCTCATGTCTGTGTTAAGAACAAGGCTAACGCTCTTGATCTGACAACATGACCTAGCCTGGCTCCTTTAGAGTGCAGCCTCTCCCAAACTGTATATTTTAAAGCCAGTGGACTCATTAACACACACAGTAAGAAATGGACCTCACCAATTTATACACCATTGCTACCTGACTCTCTACATAGTTCTAGCCATTGCTGCTATCAGCAAGTGTGCTTCTATGTGCTCTGTGCTATCAGTAAGTGTGTTTCCGTGTGCTCTGTGCACGGCTGGTCTCCAGCACTCAGAGCTGACCCACAGACTTGGCTTTAAAATGCTGTCCCTTCCTTCCTCCCTTCCTGGAATTTGGAGACTAGATATAATTACAGAGTCTGTCATTTTTAAAACTTTCAGCCTTTGCCAGTAAGTAAACAAATATTCAAATTTCAACTGAAAAGCTCTGTGTAAGGCTTAGAAACAAAATTTATCTTCAAGTACAAAAGAACTATCAGTCTGAGCACACTGGTGCGTGCAGGTGTGAAGCAGAGTAAGCAAAGAGGGACAAGGCATGCCCAAGGAGAGCAATGCACGTAGCTCAGGCCTGCTGCCTTTCATTCGCACCCCACGCCACTCCTTGGAACTCACTACCTCTACACAGTCAGTAAAACCTAGAAGTAAAATATACTTTGCTCTCATTAGAAAATGCCTACTTTCTATCCAAGTATTTCTGACACACTGATACTTAGGTGCAAGGGACAAGAAAACCTCACCTGAGCTTCTTTTATACTGTGAAACAGCCAACTTATTTGCAAATTTAGGGCTTTAGTCAGAGTTAAAGTAGACCAACTTCTATCAGCAGCGATTAATTCAGTTTATCAACAGAAAATAGCCTTTTTCTGAACTGTACCCACTTCAGTATTCACAGATTTACACAGCAGGGCTGGGTTTGCTCAAGGGGTTGCATAGGAATGTACTCCTGGCTTAACCCTGCTTACCCACCCCTACAGAAGAAGCTCTTAAAGCTGAATGCTTGTGGACAGACTGCCAAGAACAGCACAGACACACGGACAGACACACCTGTTTCCTTTTCTCCAGCCTCTCCTGCTTTAGCTTCTCTTTCTCCTTCTCGAGCTCTTTGCTTTTCATAAGGATGGTGGGTTTACTTTTAGGGGTCTTTTTGTTAAGGATTTTGGCCATGGCATCCGCCCAACCTGAGTTAGTCCCAGCACTTGGTTCTGCAGCATCTTCACTTTCTTCCTCACAGGATTCAACATTGTCCTCTCTGTCAGCTTCTGCAGCTCCGTCATCTGACTGGTCCATCTCTGAGTCACAGCTTCCTACAGACCCTAAGAATAAAAACAAACTAACATTAGTGCTGGGGAGAGCACTACCCACGGTGCCCATGTCGGTGCCCATGTCGGCAGCACTGACCAGAAGCACCAGGACTTCCTGTGTTGCTACCAGCATGGGGCACCAGCCCACAATACAGAGAAGTCAAAGTGGCTCTAAGACCCAGGCTGCAGGGACAAATCCAACAACTGCTCCACTCACTTTAACAAAACAAACAATCCCCTCGAGATGTTGAACTGCAGTTCTGAGTAACAACGATACATCCACCTCAGAGCTCACCGACCACGTTTAGGGGTGCACTGCAGAACCCCACCATGCAGGAACACCAATATTTACAGAATGCAGCCAAACTAGTTCCTCACAGAAAGCCCAAGAGTCAGGGTCAAAGGACAGCAGCAACAACAGCACAGGTGGGGCTTGGCTGGCAAAGCTTGCTGAGCAACCGGGGTGCTAGCGGGCAGGCTGCACCGGCTACAGGCCCAGGGCACTCCATGGACTCCTGAAGGTTCTTTCAGAATCCTGTGGAATTCACTGGAAAACACTTCAAAGGGGAAATCACTCAACAACTAAGTGGCTTGGAGGGTTTTCTAATAAGAAGAGCTAACAAGGCAGCTGAGACGTTCTCAGAGGATGAGTGGCCTTTGAGAAACAAAGATCCTTTCTTAGGTTGACTCCTATATATATATATTACCTCAAACTTTTCTTATCAAAGTACCAAAATAGCAACATTAGTAATCAACTACTGGGAATCATTCAGTGACTTCCTTGTATCAAGAGACACTGTTAAAGTAATTCCAAAAAGAAGAAAGACAGAAAAACCTAGGCATGAATTTCCCATTACTTAATAAAAACCTCCCTACTTAATAAAACCCCAACACCTCCTCATTGCAGCAGACTTTGGAATGAGCTCTGACTTTAAGACATAAATCAGACAAAACTGTTGTTTAGACCTTTTACCTGGGGACTGATTATAATGCACACCCTCCAGTTACTACTTTATATAAGCTGGGCATCCCTAAATCCAAAAATCAAAATCTCAAACACCGCAATAGAAAAATTTTAAGTGCCTTACTGATCAACTGCATTCAACTTTGGAGGAGTGAGGATGATCAACCAGCAAAGTTTACACTGGGTAATGTAACCAAAGCACTAATAACTGTACAAAGTCAAAGGTCACAAAACTTCTCCCCAGACACACATCTGAGGCCCTTGCCTATTAATATTTAAATAAGGCAGTTAGTAGAAAATATAATAATGTATATGTTTTAGCCCTTAGAAATAGCAGCACTGCAGAGACTAATAACAAAGTTTTCAGGGAAAAGAAACCAAAACCCTACTTTTTTAGCAAGCGTTGACCAGATGTAAAGAGACACAACCAATGAAAGCTTAAGACAAACACTGCCATCTGGAGCATTAGAAACAGACAAGCTTCAGAACTACAACACTGACATCTAGTGTCCATCCTGATGCACCTGTCCAGAGGCCACAGAGAGGCTTTCCATGAGGTAGGTCACTGCAGCTCACCACTGAGACTTGTGCATTTCACTGTGCACTGTTTAAAAAAAAAAATCCCAACCTTCTATTTTATCAATAAGGACTCAAAAGCCAGATGCTGGGGTGAAAACCTGCTAGCGCAGAGAGACAGAGAAAGTAACCAGCTGACCTTCCTTCTCAGATGAGGTCTGGATGGAAAAATCTCAAAAGGCTCACTAGCTCAGCTGACAGCCCAGGAGCAAAAGGACAACACACACACATACACACACACGGCCAAAGGCTTGCTAGCTCAATGCCCAAAAAGCCAGGAAGCTGAGGAGCTGAAGCCTAAGCTAAAGAGTTTTAGCAAATAGCCTTTTCTTCTTCTCCATGCTGTCTTAAATACCCCTCAACTCAAAATCCCTCCTACTCTTTAATCCATGTCAGCTGGTTTCTTGTTCTGTCTCTTGACCTAGGGCTAACTTATTAAATCCTACGTACAGAAAGCTCTTGGATTAAAGGTATGTTCTAGGGCTCAACAGACCAAAGAAATGGGGTTTTACAGTTCACAGTTGGGGGGTCACAATGGGATCAAATAGCCAGCAATACTGTGATGTGTTTCTTACCGAGAGTAATACAACACACACATACACTCTGCAATCAATTCCGTGAAAAGTTTACAGCATTCTTTTATACAACCTGAACTCATCATACCAGTAAAAAGAATTCCAGAAGAATTTGGAAAGGTGATTTTTTTTTTCAGCAGTTGAAGAAAGGCATTTATTGGGGCAAGAAAACACACGCATGAAGCAGACACACAAAGAAAAAGATGGGGAACACAGGAAGCCAAAAGATTACTATTTAATTTCATTTTTTTTATTTATTTTTTTAAAGAAGTTCAGGCTCAGGGGCAGCACTTGCTGCCAATGGAAATGATGTCATTCTGTATAAATAAATTAAAACTGCCAAAGTAATAAGATCTACCAGCACATACGCACAAAGAAACAGAATTTTCTTGAAGAGCATCACCATGAAAACCTGAAGGGGGGGGGCTCTCCAGGCTTGATGGTACCTGACGAAAGACTCTGTGGTTCACTGACCAATCATTAGCAGCAAAGTAAACACAGGTGTCTAACGCATGACTAGAAATCTCTACATGTGTAAAGGCAATACTTGAAGTGCTTTATTACTATATATGTGACTTCTGAATTTTACTTTAAAAATCTGAAACCCAAGGAAGAACTGCAGAGGATGTCTACTGCAAATAACGACAAAACTTCCAGCAATGGCAATGCTCCCCAACAGCTGGCCACAAGCCCCAGCTACTATCACATGCTTCAAATACATCTAGCACGGCTACAGCTAAACTCAATTCTAACCACCTTAAACGTAATATAATTGGACTAAGGAAGACATGCCCCCTTTTCACCTGCTGCCCCTCCCTCAGCAGCCTCACAAACTTGCCTATCAATTCCTCAGCCCAGATAGCATTAGTGGCCATCTGATAAGAAAGTAAACTTTTCACCAGGACTGAGACACACTTAAAAACTTGCACCCTCGCCAACATTTCTGAGCATCCATGAATGGAGAAAAAGAAATGAAGCTTTCTCTCCCTGCAGACCTCGAGTTCAGCAGATAAGAGATGTTCAGTAAAAGTTGTGAATGCACTAAGATAAAAGAATGAAAAAGCGGTGATGGAAGCGGGGGAAGGTGGGGAAGCTCCACAACAGTGATACAGGCCATAAGTTGCTAAGGGCTCACGCAGGGCTGCAGTGTACTTCGTTTGCTATTTTAAGTAGCTTAAGTGATAAAGAAGACTACAGTCTGACGAGAAACATTTATCTGCTGGGTCTAAAGTGCAGCTTTGACTATCTCTAGGATTTCTAAACTGGATGAAGTTATGAAGTCCGGTGAAAGTGGACAGCCATTTTTCATAGAGTGACCAAGACAATTCAGGGTTGTTTACTGTCTAGCAACATTACCACTCACCTTCCTCTGTTCCTCTGTCACAGTCCAGGCACACTTTCTCTGAGGATTATGGACCAAAGAAGTCCTCCCCCCACCTCCAGGGTACAAGCTCCTGCATCTTGTTAGCATCGCCTGACAACTGGGACAACACAAATTTAAAAGTTTCTACTGTGCAAAGGAGAGAATTAGCACAGGGAAGAAAATAAACAGTCAGCGGAAGTCTTTACCAGCTCCACATATGGTAAAGGATTAACAGTTTTGGAACCTCAAAACACCACAGTATTGAAGGAGCAAATAATCCCATCAATAAATGGGCAAATGGACTAGGCAGACACTTTACAAATGAAGACGTACAAATAGCCAAAATTAAAATAAATGAATATATATATATGCTTACTATCTTTAGCCATGAAGGAAATAAAATCAAAACTACAGTAATATTCCATCTCTCTCCAGTTGGAAAGTTGGAATGGCATCAAAACAAAAACTGTCGCTAGAGGGCTGGAGGTGAGAGGGAACACAGGAAGACCTGCAGCTGGAAGCTGCTGTTAGGCTCACAGCAAGTCTGGGCTCATGACATCCATCTTAAAAAAACCGACCATCAGTACAAATACAAATTGGCAGCACCTATAAAAAAAAAAATGAGTATAGATGTTCTTCAAAATGCCAAAAATTTTACTTTTAATATTTTTAAAATTCATGAGCCATAAAAAAATGATATAAAGTTACACTAATTATTAGTTTCCTACTGCTAGACACTTTATATCCTAAATAAAAGCAGATATTTTAATAACAAAGATTAAAAATTGAACTATGATTCAGTATCCCAAAGAATCAAAGTCAGAGACTTTGGTCAGAGACCATGTCTACCATAGTGCTACTCAGCCAAGTTCTGGTACCAGCCTCAGCATCCATCAAAGAAAGAACAGAGACCTTTCCAATGTACTTAAGGAATAAAAGTCTACTGAGCACTACACATGCACCAATCAGGCTCTATGCTAAATTCTGATGATGCTACATCAAAGTCAACAATTCTTCTGTCTCAGAGATCCTGAAGTTTCTGAAACACACACTATTTCATAAAAGCCAAATTTTCAATTTTTCTTGTACAAGATATCAAAAGAAATAAAAACCAGAATATGAAAAGTACTTAAGCGAAACCCATGTTTCTTGTGAGGCAAGTGTCATCCTTCAAAAGGACACCGCTTGACATCTCAATAAGGCCATTCGTCATCACCGTCATGCCCAGTTGAAAATCAAACATGTCCTGATAGAAGGGCCCATACAACTTAATATGGCTACAGCTTGCACACCACTCCTCAGGGGTCTGAGGACTCAGGCTTTATAGTTTTTCAGTTACGATCATCTGAAAACCTAGCAACAATTCTAAAATCCATGAGTCACCTTTCCAGAAAGACTATGAATTCACAAGAGAAAAAACCACTTTTCAGGTTAAATATCAAATTCTGAGTGACACCAAAGAATGCACATTAGCCGACAACCCTTTATTACCAAATTTACAAAATGAATGAGACTTTATCGTTGTTGTTTTTTTTTTGTTTTTTTTTTTTTTTTTATTAAATCACTGTCAGAGAGACTAAACGGCTTAAATGCTGAAAAGGAAAATTGGATGGAGAGTACCACACAGTAAGACACATAAAAGATGTTTGGTTGTTTTTGTTTTGTTTTGTTTTGTTTTTTAGAGGGGGCTGGGCTAACCACATTTGGTGCTCTTCAGAGGACCTGAGTTCATTTCCAGCTCCATGTCAGGAGGCTCACAACCATCTGTAACTCCAGCTGTAAGGGATCTAATGCCTCTGGCCTTCACATCTGTGAACATATGCACATGCAGGACACACATATAAATAAATGTTAAAAACTCAAGAACAGAACTAGCTAGATGGCTCAGCATTTAAATGCCCTTGACACAAAGCAAGTGAGGACCAGAGTTCAATCCTCAGGGCCCACACGGTGGAGAGACTCTACTCTTCAGATCCTTTGCCCTCCACATGTGTGCTGTTATAGCATGAGAGTCCCCAAAAAGAAGCAAACAAACAAATAATGCCATTCCAAACTTTTAAAAAGACTAATGAGACATGACATCTCTATTTAATGTGGTTCTGGATTAAGGAAGAAAAAACTAACAAAAGATCCGGCTGAGTACATGGAGGTGGCATGTATGTGGCAAAAAGCACAGCTGTGAGCTCAGCCCTAGAAATCCAGTGCCCGACAAGACCCTACCTGAAAAGGTAGCGGCAATCATCATGGAAGCTGCACAGACGCTGTCACCAGTTCACAAGAGGATACAGCTCAATGGATTCTTTTGTTGTGGATTCTCAATGTGCAAGTTCACAGATGTGCTAAAGTTTGTTCTGAACAACATCAACAGTCCTGCACTTGGCAGTCACACTCCATCCTGACCATTTCTTGTGTTCATATCTGTCTTCCTTAAAACTGTAACTTAAGGTTCAAGTCAATGCCTAGAGTGTTACTATAACATAACAAAGCACAAGCATTCATTGTATAAATCCATATTATTCAGAAGCCTCCTTGACACATGATCTATAACAAAAGAGAACTTTAGAAATCTAATCAGCATTTATACTGAAAAGAACATTTCCCCCTGGAACTATCCAGTACTTGAGTAAAGAAATCCAATTTCCATCCAAATTTGTAAGCAGTATCGATGTCTTGCTTAAAATGGAAGTGTTTTCTTTTTCTTAAACAGTCCTACTTGATCTAGGAACTGAGGTTCAACTGTCTGTACAGGTATGGTACTTTAAAACAGCAAATACACCTCAGATCTAACATGGATGTTTGAAAAGAGTAGGGTAGGACTGGAGAAATGTTCCGTGGTTAAGTTCATGCACTACTTTTCCAGAGGAACCGAGTTCCTTTCTCAGCATTTGCACTGGGCTGGTAACATCCACCTCTAACTTCAGCTCCAGAGGATCTGAGACCTCTAGCATCTACGGGCACCAGGACTCACATTCACATACTCTCACCCACCCAGCATACATACATGTAATTTAAAAATAATAAAACAAATCTAAATAAAGCAGGACACTGAGCCACAAAGTGAAAATGCCAAGGAGCACAGTGGCACATCTAAAACATAGGACAAATCTCCTTGACAAATGCACGGGATCAGACTGACGTCCATACAAGATGAGACGATCATGCAAGCGTCTGCAAAGTACTGCGCTTAATAAAGGCAAAGGGTGGAGAACTCCAGAACGAGAGCATGTTCAAATGCGGATAGAAAACAGTAATCATCAAAGGGTGGAAAGGTACATGGGGAGTCGAGATAAGCCACACCACGGAAGCTAAAAACTCTGGATGTTATTCTGGTATGTGAATCCACTGGTTCCTGAATAACTGACACAATCAGACACACACGGATCGTGAGTATCAGCCGCAACACATGAGAGGTGACTGGTGTATAGAAGCAAGTGCCTGCCCTTCCTTCTAAACTAAGACGCTAGTGCCAGGAACCACGGAAGCTTAAAAGCAGCAGGAAGGGCAGACACATAACAGTGAAAGATCTCCCCAAGACACATCTTCCTTTGATTCTCAAACTGTGAGCAGATGTTAACGCTGCTTCATCCTTCACCACACGCTCCTCTTTCACTACCCTGTCTGTAACTCCCAAGCGCTCACATTTCCCCAATGTACAGTAACAGTATTTCCCCCCTCGTGTGGCCGTTTGCTCCTCACTCCCCGAGCCTATTCCACCCATCATTTCAACTGCGACCCTTACTTCCACGCTTTGCTAGGGGTTCCAAAGAGAAGCTCGTGGACATTGCTCTTACAGCCTTTTCTGTTTTCTGATAAACGCTTACAAGCTGACAGGCTGAAAGTACAGAGCCAAATCCTCTCATCTTAAAGCTGGGAACATTTTGTGGGAAATGAAGAAAAAAAACAATACCTGCTTTGATTTTTCTCTGTCAGACCCTTAGGTCTGATCTGCGAAAAATTAACCTTGTTTTTACTCCACTTCTAAGCAGGAAGTGGACCTGCACTGGGGTTATCACCTGCCCGTCTGCTCCAAACTTGTGTGCTGCCTGCCACTATTTCTCATTGGCACAGGCACGTTCGCCCACCTTAGTGACAGCTGACGGAGTGGAAACACTAAAATAAACACGACAGCGAGGAGCCTCTGAAGAGCAGGTCTCCCCGCCCAACCTCAGGTGCCCTACGGACCCAAGGCAAAGAAACACACCCCTTGCCTTGGGGAGCTCAGCCCGACCTTCTGAGCCAAAGCTCCGCCCGATATTACCTTCTCCGTCGGAAGAGTCTTTGAGCTCATCTTCCAGCTTCGATGTTGCGGCCTTGACCACCATTTTAACCTTTTTCTTCTTCTTCAGGGATCGCTTTAGCTTTTTCCCCGAGCTCACACGTGAGTCCTGAACGGCCGCGGCCATTTTGGCTCATCGGAAGTGCCACCAGATAATTCGGTCGTGTCACAGCGAAAGAGGTTTCCTCCTCCGGTTCCGGGGTTACAAAGTTCCGGAACACGGTTGTCCAGCCTGGAGTTCCGGTGGTGCAGCCTCGGGTGTAGACGGAGGGACGTCCACGGATGCTCGCGGGCGAGGTCGGTCCCCGGTCTCTCCGCCCTGCCCCCCGGCGGCGGGTGCGGCCCGCTCTTATTTCTCCCCGCTAGGTTAGCATCCGCAGTCCCACCCACTGTCCTGAGACCCGCCGTGAATTCATCGGAATCAGCAAACCGAGCGTGTTCTACACGGCTTCCCCGAGCTCCGTTTGTTCCGAGCAGAAATTCTTGGGTTTTGATAGGTCCGAGAGGCTGTCCGGGTAGAGCAGATGAGCCACGCCCTAAATCCTACCTACCACCTTCCATAAACTGCCAAACAGCCTTGCCCCAGGGCAGGGGGCGACGACCGCATTATCCTCCTAAATTAAGCCTTTAAATTCTACTCGGTACCTCTACTAATCTGCAGACCTCTGGTTCCACCCTTCCTTTGAAAGGCTGTATGTAAGGAGTTTCTTTGGGTTGTGAGTGGCTGTCGGTTCCCCACCCCAAAACTCGCCAGGGTAATCACCTGAAATACGTCCCAGCACCTGACTATGGGGCGCCAGCATTTCATCCAGGTTTCTTTCCTTATCTAATGGCTTTTAGTACCCAAATTTGTCTTTAAGAAAAGCAACAGAAAATAAGAGTCTTCATTTTGATGTGTTTTTTTTTGTTGTTGTTGTTTGTTTGTTTGTTTTGTTTTTTGCGTGATGTCTATGCAGATAATAAATGTAAACGTCCTAAAAACAAGATAAATATAAAATAAATATATCCATCCCTTAAACAATACAGGACATCTGTCACTGTAAATACAGTTTAGGACAAGATCAGGTTCCAGGGTAAGCCTCAAAAAAGAACAATTCCGGTTCCACTTAAAGAAGTTTCCCAGGTCTCCCTGCTTCCTGGGTCTTCTTGCCTCTACAGTAGTACAATGCTCTCATTAGAGTGCTGTGCTGACCTTGAGGCTACTTCCTGCTCTCTCATATTTAGCATGTGTTCGTTTTTTAATATTTACTTTCACTTTCTCCATACACTATATTTTAATCATACTGCTTCCCTTTTCCCAATTTCTCAAAGATGCTACCTGCCTGCCTATTTACCCAACTACATATTCTTTCTCTCCCCCAACCAAAAAACAAACAAAAAAAAAAAAAAAAAAAAAAAACCGAAATGATCAACAAAAAATATCAAAACAGACAAACTATGTTTTTAAGATTTAATTTTTATTTTTATAAGCCTGGATGTATTTATGTGCACCCTGTGTGGCAATGCCTGTGGGGCCCAGGAGGGAGGGTGGGCTCTCCTGAACTGGAATTCATCTGTGAGCCGTCTAATATGAGTGCCGGGAACACAACCAGGGTCCTCTGCAAGAGTAGCAAACACACTTAACCACTGAACTATCTTCTCAGACCCCAGCTTCCCTTTTAATTTTTTAAATTTATTCTTCGTCAAATTCATGCATCTTTCACCTTATCTTGATAATAGCCACCCAGAGTCTTCTCCTTCTACGCCATGCCCTATACCATGTACCACTCCCATCTCATGTCTCTTTGCTCATGGGCAACCTACCATCAGCACACCCTGGAAGAAAGATGCTTCCTCAGCCTAGTCATCAGTTTCCAAAGCCCCTCATCATTAGTCCCTCCACTGTCCATCAACCCATTTCTTTGTTATTTTAGTTTTGAGGCAATATCATACAAAGTCCCATGCAGGTCTTGAACGTTACAGTGCTCCTGCCTTGACCTCTATAGTAGTTGCAGTTTCAGGCTTGTGCTGTCAGGCCCAGCTTTTACATCAATGTAATAGTTTCTATGTAAGAATTGTTATAGGCTTGGTTACATAGGCTTGGTTAAAACGTTGCTTGCAAGAGAAAAATAGTTAATTGGTTCCAATTAAATTTTTTTTCTTCATTAAGGCAATATAAGGTGAAATGCAGGTTTTGACTCTGAAAATTTGACTATCAGAAATGGATACAAGTCAATGAGAAGTGTCTATTGACTTCCTTCAGTTTTCATAGTACACCATTGAGCTGGTTACTATTACTGTTTCTGTTTTATACATGAGGAAACTGAGGCTGAAAAAAGCAACTGTTCAATATTGCACAGGCAGCAAATGGTAGAAGCTACGTAAGTCCTCTGCTCTAGAGTCAACTCAGCCATTCAACTGCATGGCCTACTTACCGTGTTGTACTTTTAACAGTTAGAAAGCATGAAATAAAAGTAAGCAATGAAAATTTCAGGTAAGGACAAGCACGGTGTCACACGCCTGTAATCCCAGCATTCAGGGAGGCAGTGTCAGGCAGATTTCTGTGAATTTGAGGCCAGTCTTGTCTACAGAGCAAGTTCAGGACAGCCAAGGCTACACAGAGAAATCCTGTTTCCAAAAACAAAACAAAATTTTTCAAGTAAGCACTGGAATTCACAAATTAAAAAACAAATTTCTTCTATTACAATCATCCACAGTAATTAAAAAGACTCAAGAAGAAATCTACTGTTCCTGAGGACACAAACCACTCTTAATGGCAGACTAAAGGTACAGCCACCACCCTTGCAAAGCTACACTGGGCAGCTACAGGGATCCAGCACCACCTTCTGGCCTCCATGAGCACTGCACTAGTGTACATGTTCACAACTACACAAATGAGGCAACAGCAATAACAAAAACACACAATAGGCAGATCTCCCCATTGTCCCTGGAGCATCAGCTGAGCTCAGTCCCCTGTCGCTGGCATAGCTTACTTACCTGCCTGTCTACCTGTGTGCCCATTTGGACCACAATCCCACCCTTTCCTGCCCTCGTTCCAGGCTCTGCTCTTTTGCCTCACAACTGTACTCCATCCTGCCACTTTGTCTTGCCTCTTGGTATCGGAAGAATTCATCCATAGTCACCCGGCACCAGGTCTCTGAGCCTGTCGGTGGCAGAGCATGATGTGGCAGCGGGAGTGTGTGGGGGATGTGGCTATTCATCTCGAGGTGAACAGGAAATACATGGAGAGATAGGAACAAGGGACCCACACTTGCATCTAGGTGCCACCTCCTAGAGTTTCCACACCTCCCAAAATAACACCAAGTGTGAGTCAACGCACAAGCCTGTGGGGGACTTCACACTCAAGCCGTAAAAAGCAGCCAGTTACCATTTCACATCAAAGGAGAATGTGCTCCAGCTATGGTCTAGCGTAGCAGTTGCCTAGAACAGTTGCCTCGCATATACATTGCCTGAGTTCCATCTGTAGCGATGACTTGAAGGTTGGGGGCAGCGGGGGATGGGGGCTTTTTGCCATGAAAACAGCAAACAGTGAATCCATGGAGCAAGTGGTTCCCAGAGACGTAAGGCCAGAGGTAGATACCAAAATGAGGTTCCTACTTGAAGGGTTATACTAAGCTAGGTATTACTGATTTTGCTACTGTGTATTTATCCTCACAGATCTTTTTGAGCATGAAAAAGAAAAGAAAAAATTGGTCTGTTTCCCAAAGTGCCTTGAAAGAACTCAGGTAAAAACACAGATAAATAAACCAAACTTGGTGGCACACGCCTGTAATCCCAGCACTCAGTGAGGCAGAGGCAGACGTATCTCTCTGTGAGTTCTTGGCCAGCCTAGTCTACAAAAGCAAGTCCAGGACAGCCAGGGCTACACAGAGAAGACCTGTCTCAAAAAAACCAAACCAAACTAAAAAAAGACACAGATAAATAGAAAACTCTAGAACTCTGGTTGCATGGGGTAGTGTCTTTTTGTTTGTTTTTTAGCTATGCCCCCCTTCAAATCTGCTAATTAGCTACTGAGCCCATACAAACTAAAAGTTTAAAGTAGAAAATCATTAGCAGCCAAGCTGTCCTAGTGATCTGCAGTCTGTCAAGGTTTCATGAGTGATAGGCTGTCTCAGTTATTTTTTACAGCTGTGAAGAGACACCAGGACCAAGGTAAATTACAAAGGAAGGCTTACAGTAGGGGGTTACAGCGTTAGAGAAGTAGTCCACGATCAGCATGGCAGCCAGCACACAGGCATGATCCTGGAGCAGGAGATGAGAACTCACATCTGATCCACAAAATTGAGAGAGGGAGGGAGAAAGAGGGGAAGATACTGAGACAGACAGACAGACTAGTCCTGGTGTGGGCTTTTGGAATCTCAAAGTTAGTGACACACTCCTCCAACAAGACCACACCTCCTAATCCTTCTCAAATAGTCCACCAGCCAGGAACCAGACATTCAAGTACTTGAGCCCACCGCTGTCATTCTTATAAACCACCACATAAGCTTTAAGGTCGATGTAAGCCCACACAGATCTTGTTCAGGAAAACATAAGTGGCAGCAAGAAAGAGAAGACTGACATGTGTACCAGTGTGCTCTCCTGATCAGCCAGAAGGAAAGGGCAGACAGCACCTGGCACCTGACTTCAGGGCTGTAAATTGTTCATTCCACTCAGCAGCTCGCCTGCCGTTCTGCACTGGCACCTGGCTTTGGAAAGTTGTGAAACAAACTTCCTCACTTTTGCAATGCTGAATGAACCTCCAGTCATTTTATTTCTAAGTGTGTGTGTGGTGTGTATCTGTGTGAGTATGTGTGTCCAAGTGTATGGTATTTGTGTGTGTGCATGCATGCTTGTGGTGTGTGTGTGTGTGTGTGTGTGTGTGTGTGTATGCTGTGTGAGTGTGTGTGAGCATGTGTGAGCGTGTGCATATGTGCGTGCCCATGTGTTGGGGGTTAAACAGGACTTTCTTTGGAGCACCAGCTCCTAAATAGTGACATGAAGACATTTTATTAATTCTACAAGCTTGGCCTTAGCTTACTTTGTTCCCCGCTAGCTCTTAACTTAATCTACTTTCTGCCACATGGCTGTTACCTCTCAGTCCCTTAATCCCCCACTGTTTCTTTCTCTTGTCCATCTTCCCACCTCAGATTCCTTCCCAGATTTCCTATCTCT